GCATCATTATTGATTTGGGCAAGTATGGTATCTGACGCAGCCTTCCTATCCGAGGTGGAAGGCTTTCTGGCCTCCTGTGGCGTGCCAGAATTCACACCAACTCGACCTGAACGCGAGCGAGCAATCAAGAATTTTGGTGGGCAATTTGACAAAACTACGGACGGAGACACGGAAGATCCCAATGTCCATGCCACTAAAAGTAAGGACAGTTCGTACTATTGCCGCCGTATGAGGGAGCGAATGAGCTTGCGACAGCAGGTCAGAGACATGACAGCAGAACTAGAAAACTTACAAAAGACCAAGGAAGCAGTCAGGTTATCGAAATGGATGGCGCGGGCGAAATATCGAAGAGAAGAGCGACTTCAGGCAGAGGAGAAGCAAAGACGACTTTATGCAGCAACCGCTACTCGCGCTACTACGATTGAGGACTTTTTCAAATTAGCCCAATCGCATCTTTGCGGAGTAGGAGGAATAACAGAGGAGGAGACTGAGTTGGTGGGGAGTTCAGCTGATGCGTCGCACTGCGGTCCGTTCAAGCGAATACGTGTCGATCCACCGCTTGACGGAATATCAGAGCGTTACGTGAATGAACTTAACGGGGTTGACAAGAGCTCTAGCGAGGGCGAGTCTGAGAATGAAGTTTGGAGAGATTCTGAACCATGGTTCGACCTGAGTGATAATATCGAGACAGAAGAGTGCATAATTGTTGTTGATACTAATAAAGTAAACGACAATGTCGTGCCTTTTATCGTAGTACGTATACTGTAATTGGCGTCGTACTCTAAGGTAGACAGCTGTATTCGGCAAGGCGTGAGCCCACACTACCGGGCTCACTTGTTTGTGCCACGCGTGAGCACTAGTCTTTCCGTGTGAGCAGTGATAAGTGCCAAAGCCCAACAACACCGCTGCTGTCGTCATCGGGAGCAGCAGTTCACTTCGAAGTATTAAAAGACTGAAGAACTCTCTCACAGTTTATCAACCTGTCAGTGATTTACTCATTATTGACAACCATACCGGTAAATTGCTGTGTGTTTGGCTCGTGTCCTCTAATCCCCACGTTCGTGAAATTTATGGGCGTGTATCGCGCACACAGTCGCAGTACAGAACTCGCCTCGTCTCCAGCCAATGAAGTCAGCACTCCCCAGCCAATTCGTCGGCGTGCATCCCAGCGAACGCCCCCCCCTCCCTCAGCAAAAGTTCGCCCCTACCATCCTGTTGTCCTCGCGGTATCGACCGTTGATGACTCGAAGCAGTACAGATGCAGCTTTGCCAGTCTCCAGTCGGATGCTTACTCGAAACTTGATTGCTACACTACTACCGCGATCTTCCATTCCGTCGTAGAGCTGTTGATCTTCTCGCTGATGTCCCGAAAGTGTTTGTCTTAACATTTTCCTAGCGTGCTCATAATCGAACGAGAACCGTCTCTTGTAAGAGTGCTGGAAGTTGCTATTGCCCTCTGCTCTCTTGTGAGTGCACCGCAGTTCATATCCGACGAGTCCAAACCGGCCGTATCAAACACCTCATCGATCAGAGCGTAGACAGCGTTTAGAGTTAAAGCTGACGTTCTGTAAAAGTCGCTGTCAAACGACGCAAGGCGTAGCTGGTCGTGATGATAATTGCTCTTGTCGTTCAGCTCAAGAGACTCGACGTTGACCAGATTTTCATAAGTTAATCCTCGGTAAGCTTGGATCAGTGTTGACTGTGCTGTAAATGCCGAACGCAACTGACGTTGTCGTGCTTCGGACGTCAAACGCGCCTATAAGTGACACAACGTAACCATTCTCCATCCAGACATAGATAGCAGTCTTCTAGGCTCCGTGGCCAGTTTCTTGTTGAGTTCCTCTATCTCCTGCTCCTATTGTTCACGTGCAGCCTGCCGTCTCTTTCGATACGCCTTGCGTCGAACACATGCTCTCGTGGTGCTTTGCGCGGCCCCCGATTTGGATGACTCGCTGCTGGTGCTGCCATGGTTTGGGGTGTGGTGCAACGGGAGCGTTAGCAGGTTGCACGAATTCAAGAAGTCCTCCACCTCAGTCAGGAACGAAGAGTCCAGGGCTGCTTATTGAGAGTCTTTATGAGAAAGTGCCACTCTAGCCTCACGGTACGTGATAACGCATAATCTGATGACCGATTACAAGTACAGTGCACTACACACCGTTGTGCCACAACTTGTGGAGAGCTCACAGCGCTCAGAGGCTTCGTACAGAAATAATGAGCTTATCGAATACATGTTAGATATTCGTTAGGCTACTACATGTAGTTTTTTCGATGTGACGAGTTTACGAGATGAATGGTACTGTAGAAATATAGTATACTGTACTTACTTTTTAAATGTCTCTTAGACAAACAAACAAAAAACACGCAAAGGCTGATGACTCCTCTAAATTAATATTAGAAACAGGGTACGATTCCTTAGAGTAGATTTTCAAGTCGACATGCGATTTCTTCAGAGTTCGTAGTGCTGACCTCCATCACTGCGTTTGCAAATCGCTTTGTCAACTGTTCATTGCCAACGCTACTGACGTTCATTGGCACATAGCAAGCAAAACGCTGCATGATGCTTTCGTTCTCCGACTCCCCCGAGGTAGTAAGAACTCCCCAGCCAAATTCATCCGCGTGCATGCCAGTGAATGCTCCCTCCGCCTCGGCAAAGACTCGCCACACCACAACCATTCGGTTATCTTCGTTGTAGCAACGATTGATAACGCGAAACAGCACGGATGCATCTTTACCTGACTTAAGTCGGGTGCTAGCCCGAAACTTGAATGCTACGGCGGTATCGGGTAATTCCAGGTCTTTGCAGAATTGGTGGGTTTCAGGGTGATGAAGCAAGAGCGTGCGTTTCAAAGTGGCACAAGATTGCTCGAAGTTGGACGCAAATGTCCGTTTATCGACGTATTGGAAGTAGGTTTTCCCACTCGAGAGTTCCCGCTCGTCCGTGTTAGTCCCATACTGATCGTTCGGCAAATTAAGACCAGCGTTACCGAGGACTTCGTCAGTCTGAGCGTAGATGGTGTCGAATGTCAGGGCAGACGCCTTGTAAAATGCCGAGTCAAAGGACTCTACGTGAGGCCATTTGAGAGGACAATGGGTGATTCCACTGTCTGGTAGTGTCCGAGTACTGTCAGGATCCTGTCGACCTTGAGTCACTTCCCTGTATTGTTGAATTAACGTTGTGTGGGCTGAGACTGCTGCAATCAATCGACGATGTCGCTCCTCCGACACCATTCGTGCTTCCAAATGGCACCACGACACCATTCTCCTGCCAGACATTGATAGTTGTCGCTTCCGTTCGCACGCGAGCTTAGTCTTGAGTTCCGATACTTCTTGTTCCAGTCTTTCACGCTCAGCTCGACGCCGCTTCCGATACTCTTTGTGTCGTTCACATTCCTCTTTGGTTCTTTGGTTGTTGGGTGCTAAGTTGTTCGACAGCAGCAACTCGGCATCGCACTCGACTTGGGGCGAGAACAGTGCCGAAATGTCAAAAGAGCTCAAGAAGCTTTCCACCTCGGAGATCAGCACAGCGTCCAGAGTCATGTTCAACTCGAGGAATGTTTGGCAGCGGGGCATGATGTATTAATACCTCATACTAACGGAGCCCGCAGTATATTTACAGTGCTACTGTTTTAATAGTATTAATAATGCAGTTTCATTGGAAAAACTATGGATTAGGAGCTCGATATAACATTAAAATAGGGATAATGTGGTGTACCCAAAAAATGCTCCAAACCTGTAGACTCATTAAATTGCAAATGTCGTTAACTGGGCCAAGAGAATGCAATCAAAAGGATAACCGCGGTGGTGTATTCAAATATCTCACTTAGCCACATAACGCCAGTCGGTGGCTTAAAGTAGAGAGATACATCGATCACCCTAAATGAGGCGACAATTGCCTTCCGTAAAATACGGCCGGAGTGCGCCATCGATTTTTGGTCAAAGTCAAGTCAAATTTAAAACCTTATAAAGGTTTCACATCCGTCCTAAACAGGTGGCAGATCGTCTTTTAACGGTCACCCATAAAAATGGGAACGTCGCATTGTCGCACTGGGGTCGTATTTTACGGCACTTCCAAGCAGGCGTTTATAAATGCGATCTAGATCAACAAATCGTACGTGGACACATGAAAACTTAACCGTGTAGTGTTGAGTTTCGCTGAGCTACAAGTAGCCATGAACCTTTAATAGTGCGCTATTTATGAGCTTCTTAGATTTTTCGGCGGAACGCCTTAAGATTTTTTTATCTTTGTTCGTGTATACCTAAAGGTTTGTAGGCAATCTTGAGCTTTCCATTTAGATTTTGTATTCGCAAATGGTGTTTGTTCAGAAGATAATGTTAACGATCTGTCAGGATTATTCCTTTGTCAACCACAGCAGTACATGTAGCACTGGTAGATAGCATTATCACGTTCATCCACTTACCTCTGAAGAAGAATGGTCTGACCACTCCAATGACCCATCAACTACTTCCATGCCCTAATCGACTGGTAACATACACAACATATCAGGAGAGCGAACAATAGACCGCTCTATTGCTCTCTAAATCTACGGAGGTGTCCATGGACGAGGAGCGGCTTTTATGCTGAGAATAGGTCTGGTATACAAAGCTGCTGCATCATCGAGTCGAAGCGTAGTGCATTTTATAAAATAGTCTACCTCCCAAACTCATTAAATAAATGAATGGAGTTCATGCAGCCAGAAAAAAGGTAAAAAAACGGCTTTGGAGTAGTGACTACTGTAGTATTTGCATGGTCGTTAGGACAGCTAAATGACTGCAATGAAAGCTGACTTTGAAAAAGAGTAGTGACTAGTACGATTTAGTGATGACTGTGGAAACAGCTTGATTTTTTATATCGAATAGTGAGGATGAGTAATTTGTTCTGAGCTTGTGATGTCCAGTTGTTTCTTAAAACTCCAAGTGCTCTACCCGATAAGTTGTCCTGCTAGCCTTTCACTTATCAATTTGATTCCGAGCTTAAGCTACTTGCCCTTCTACGCTACGCAATGCCCAAGAACGCTAACATCTGCCGCGTGCTCTTTGCAGCTCTACCAGACCACTACTTTAAGTGCAACTATTGCAACAAAGTGTGTCGTCAGCTCCCTTCTAGTGGCTACGGCAACCTAATCAGCCATTTGAAGGACAAGCACCCGAATACGAGTTGCTCACGCCATCTCTCTGGCTGGCAACCTACACTCCTTCGGCTTTGTGAGCAAAAATGTCGCCAATATCTACCATTGAATGGAGTGGGTGGTGGACATAAACATGCCTCAATCTGAGATTGACCACCCAGCGACTCGCTCAATGTCCCAGCTCAAGTCTATCTCTTAGAAGACTCTAAGAAAGTACCTAGCTGCAACAACGCGAGCTGTCGAAAAGGAGATTGCCAATACAATCCCCCCGATGTTTGGAGCCATGTACGATGGCTGGACATGGTTTCTAGAGCACTTCGTGGCGCTGTACATCGTCTACAGGAAGGACGATCAGTTTTCTACGTTCTATTAGCGATGGCGCTATAGATGAGGCTCATCACACTGTTGCTCGCAATGTGCCTACATTCATTGCTCGGCAATTTTTGGCCAATCAGGAGATTCGCTGATTTTTTGGTGGGTGACAATTGTGCCACCAATCAGCTGACGGCAACCATGCTCTGCGCCCCATGGATGGGCTGCGCGTCTTATCGATTTAATCTGGCCACCAAAACGTTTTGGCGGAGCACGAAGACCTGGTGGGGGCTGTGAGCGCGCAAATGACGGCGCTCCGGACGATCAAGAATCGCGCTGAGCTCCGGCGCCACACAAGCCTAGGGCCATTGCGTGCTAATGCTACTCGGTGGAGCTCCACCTTCATAATGCTGGAGCGGTACATTCGCCTCCGTGACGCTATCAAGCGCGTCGACGCTGTCTACGATCTGGTTCCGAAGCCGGCTACGCACTGACGCATTGTAGCGCTCGTCGAGAACCGCAAGACGCTCAACAGCGTGTGCAAGAACAACCAAGAAGTCTCGATGAAGTCGGTGCTGAAATTATTTGACAAGATGGTTGAAATGTTCCCCGTAACGGGTGACTACCTACGCCCCGACGCTGACATTGTTCACCACCCGGTGTATGAAAGTGCCGTCGTCAAGATATATTGCTGTTGTGTTGTTCTTCTGTTGCTGCAGCTGTGCTAACTTACCTATGTTGCTTAATGTTAAATTAGGTTTCTCGTGGTGCAGAAACCGACTTGACTCCAGAAGAGTCACAGGGCCTCCAGCCGCTCCAACTGGAAGCTGTCGCTTCTGATCCGGCCATGGTCAGCGAACTCGGAGTCCGAGTGCGCTTCGAGTCGGACGGTCGCCCGCAGCGCAGAGGACTTCGCAACCGCGCTGCTACGATCGCGCCCGAACCCCCAGCTCGTGGCTCCGCCATACGACCCGATCGTCGTCGTGATTCCCCCCAACCAGCAATTTCTGCGAGAGGTTGTTCTCGCAGTGCAAGCTGATCATGACCCCGCACCGTGCATCCCTCCTGCCGAAGAACTTCGAGATGCTCGTTTTTCAGCGAGCCAACCGTAAGTTATGGGATGCAGGTACACTAATGAGACTCGATGTTGACGCCACTGACGAAAACTAGTGTCAATGCTGGTGCTGAAGGACAGTACAATAGGTATTTCTCATTTATTTACAAATGTTCTTCTTTATATTCATTTATTGCTTGTTGTTGTGAAGAACAACTAATACATTTCTTTATTGTAATGCCCGAGCACTGTGATTTACTACCTCCGTCCCACAAGACATTTAACATTTCTTTTTTGTGCCATTGCGCGTCGTTTACGTACGTTATTAGCCCATAAATCATTCCTTTGAACGCTCGCTAAGAGCGCTACAGCTACGTCCTTGCTGCGCTACGTTCACGAGCCACTGGAGGAAGATAACATTGCCACAATTTAAGTGTTTTTAGGGTATGACGGGAAAATCTTCGCCACACTTTATGAAGTGACCTTTTAGTTTTGTTTTCGCAGCTGAAAATTTGAAAGGCGTAATCACAAATTAAACAGAACGAAAGTGTCACTTTTGCTTCCACTTGAATTGCCAAGTAACATAGCTGTCGCCCTTTGTTTATCCTTATTTCCGCAACGAATCCAAACTGTCTTCGTACCCTTATTCGTAATTGTTCGCTTAGGAACGTACTCGAAAAAACGGCTACATTAAGGTACACGAAAGTACCGAGCAGGACCGTGTGATTATCTTCTTCGGTGGATCATGCAAACCTTCATATTTACTATAAGTATCCAGAGTGTATTTGTATCGAGTAGAGTAGAGTACAGTACTGCACCCCGTTTTCGCGCCCTTGGACCTTTGATAAACTTCCGGATGTGATGCTCCTGAATCCAAATGACCTTTTGTTTGTAAGCTTAAATCTGATTTATTTGTAAATCCTATATGGTCCACCCCCGCGTAAACGGGGTGCAGTACTGTACCGATATTAGACAATTCAAAATGCTTTTTAATTTATCTGTAATTAATCGTTTAGTAACTTTGTGAAAAATAGCATTACAGTTATGGACAGCGGAAAAGTGCGATTACATGTAAAAGTTTGGGATTAGTATTGACGTACCGTCTACAGGGGTTAATGGTAACTCCAAAATCGGTGAAGTTAATATTGTAAAAATATTACCTGTAGACCAGCTAATATAAAAAAGATTACCTAATATTTTCTTCTGAGACAATATGATATTATTAAATATCAACTTAATATTAGCTAATACGATATTATATTTTTTTCAAAGATTGCGTAATCGGGCTAAATTAACTAATCATATGTCGTTAACGCTCGACTAGCTGAAGTATTACTAATCAACCGTGAGGGAGGGACAATTGAGAGAGTGGCGGCAAGGTTGGCGTCGTGTGTTGGCACTGCTGAGCGCATTAATCTAGCGCCACAGACAGCAGGTTTATTAGACGCACGATGTGGACGAGGAGATCGGTAGAGAACAAGAACAAATGTCTTGGTTTCGCTCTATCAACGTTAAACAGCCGCAAGCGTTTGCAGTTTCCATCTCGATCGTCTTTGTCTGTGTCACAGTGAAATACAAGAGCAAATACTCGTCAGTCTTAAAGCCTACTGCTTTTCTAGAACCTGATCGAAAAAGGTATTTGGCTCCGCTCGGTCCACAGGGTAAGGTGGCAAGAAACGTACTTAAGTGGGAAATATCATAAAATATCATGTAGTATCTAATATTTTTCAGCTCTCCGAGTTAATATTAAAATATTCTGTTAACTTTTGCAAAAATGAGCTACTATTAATATTTAATATAAAAAATAGTACTATTACTATCAAAAATATCATATGATATTTGGTTACCATTAGCCCCTGACCGTCTAAGACCGTACACGAACATATACAGTAATTGGTGAACCTTGTCCGACACCACGAAACGTGAGGTCTAAAGTCAGCCTCATTTCAAGTTTTAGCCACGATGAATCCGGATGCTGCATTTCTTGATGAGGTGGATGACTTCCTCGTTTCATGCGATCTATCCACACTTTCATTGCCAAGCGATAGCGGTGAAAATAAAAATGAGACCCTAGCGACGCCTTCAGTCTCGACGCGCGAGAACGGCCCAATGCGGTTGGTTGGTGTAGCTCCTCGACACTTTACACGTAGTCGGAGGCTGACGAAAACCATCATGGATGCTGTTGCAAGGCACGAGTTGGAAAAGGCAAAGGACCGCAAGAGAAGAAGTGTCTATCGAGAACGTCGACGCGTCGAGCGAGAAAGTCTTCAACAAGAAGTCGAGAAGTAACGGAGCAGCTGAGAAACGTCCAAGGACACAATAATGTGCTGGCTTCAACGTGGAAGATGATAGCAGAGCGCAACTCGCTGCACGAATGACAGCTGAAGCAGAGCAAAAGCGGCTTTGTGAAGCTGTTAGCGGTCGGGCAGTTCTACTCGAGAGATTTCACGACTTGATGAACCGACGACTCACTGAGTGGGACGACTTGTCTTTAAGCGAAGGGATCGACACTAGAGCAGCATCCTACCAACACAAGCGAGTCCGGTTAGAGTCTACCGAAGATGCTATCTTCTCAGCATATATCGATGAGCTGGATGGAGTCTACGCTCAGACGGACGAGGCCTTGCGTTTAAGAGGATTGGACGATACAAGACCAAATTGGGATGGACCAAGTGAGAACTGGACCAAGGATCCGGACACGGGCTATTTCCTATACGGAGGTAAATTAACTCTTCCGTTCGGCTTCAGTGAATTATGTCCGTCGCGGTGGTATACGGCACCCTTGCGGCACCGTCAGGAGGGTCGACAGCTGTATCATGGAGTGGACGACCCAGACAAGACGCTGGCGTTCAAGTTTCGTATCACCACTCGCTTGGCGTCCGGCAAGACCGCTTCGGTTGTGCAGCGTGTAGCCATCCGGCGCTATGAACAGAACGAACGGATGGTGATTGTCTGGCGTTTGTTCACAGAAGGTGAAGGTGCTTTCTTCGGCATGATGGGTGGAGTGTCGTAGTTCCTGCGTCAAGTTCAGCGAAGACCGGTACAGTGATGCTAACTTGCGTTCGCAATGTGCCAATGCACCTCAGCAATGTGGTGGAGAATCAGCCCACGGTGCGGCAGTTTGCTAGCAAACTCGTCGAATGGGGATCGGAAAATTGCACGGAGGCCACAAATGCGATCACCTATTCCTTGATTGCAGGAAAATGAACCTGGGCGGTACGTACAGCGCAATCTTTCGAGAAACCAGAAGCTGAGTAACAGTACTGAACTTGAAAAAGAGGAATCGATAATTCCTCACCACACCATTCAAGTTGGACATTTCCTCGCTCCACCATCACGAAAATATAAATTTAATTTGACCTGTGGTAATCATTGGGAAGACATGTGATGTTTACAATTGTATTTTCATAATATAAATGTATTATGTAATAATACAGGTTTTCAACAAATATGAGCATGTTCACAACAGCAATAACAATTTTGACGATATGTTGTGATTCACAACAGCAATACTGTAGCAACATTGACGACGAAGGCAATGATGAGGACAATGACAGTCTGAAGAACTATCTTGAAAAGTTATTACTTGTAGTATGACTACCGTACTCTGGTACACCGACATTGAACTCCAAGAGTCATATTAACTCTTGGAGTTCAATGTCGGTGTATCCTCTAGGCAACTGTTTCTACCTTAAAAAAAAAACAAATATCACAGCCCTCCACCCACACAATCGATTTAGCAATGTTCAGCATACGCTGCGTTCCTTGCTGAAGTTGAGCACTTCTTAATCTCGTGCGATCAACCGCAATTTGAAGCATCAAATGAACATCACCAGATCCTTTGTACGAAACGCGAGCACGAAGACTTGGAACATCTTGATGCCGCATCTAGACACGAGCTGGAAAGGGCAAAGGACCGAAAGCGACGAAAAATGTACCGAGAACAGCGGCGAACTGAGCGCGACCATCTCCAGCAGGAAATTGAAACGTTGACGAAGCAGCTACAGAAAACGCAAGGAGAAACAAAACTCACGTCACAATTGACCATCCCGTTCTGGGAAACGGTTGCACAGCGCCAGTTTGCTGCTCGAGAAGGTGCCGAGCTTCGCCAGCAGCAGCGATTGGTTTCTATTCGAGTGTGCTGGAGGAATTTCAACGACTGTTCCAAGAGAGACTTCATCATCTGAACGACTTCCCTGACGATGAAAAACTGCGAATTGAAACTGCAGATGCGGATATCTTCGCGATTTATATCAAAAATCTGGATGCAGTTTATGCCCGGACTGATAAAACACTACGCGCCTGTCGTCTGGAGTCCACCGAAGCAAACCGGAATTCCCCTTGCGAGTCATGGGATAAGGACTCGAAAACGGGATATTTCCAGTTCAGAGGCAAGGTCACCTTGCCGTTCGACTTTCAGGATATCTGTCGATCAATGTGGCAAATTCTACACGGGCTCCACCAACAGGATTACCAAGAGAGCTACGATGCAGTTGATAGCCCAGAAGATACGCTGACACGCAGAGTTCGTCGCACGATCCATTTGACCTCGGGCGGCATTGCTTCGATACTACGGCGCTTAGTTATTCGTCGCTACGAAGCCGACGGCCGTATGGTACTTGTCTGGCGGATGTTTACTGAAGGTGAAGGGATATTCACTGGCATGCATGCCGATGAGACTGGATGGGGTGTAGCTACAGCCGTGAAGGGCTCCAAGACAGGAACTGTGCTGCGAACCTGCGTCCGTAATGCACCAATGCATTTTAGCAATACGTCGGCCCGAAATCACGCAGTGAAGCAGTTTGGAGACGAACTTTTTGAGTGGGGACGAGAAAACCATGAGGAAGCTAGGATCGGACTTGAAAGACTCCTGCTAACAAATATGTAGGGTTGGTTACTATATACCAGATTATATTTTGGTTTGGATCGGATAAATAATTGTCAATATCGGAGCTTGTGCAATAATGATGCTGATGATGGAGATTAAAATGCTGCGTCGACTGCACTTAAAGTACTTGAAGTACAGTAACTCCATATTTCATGTCGTCCGACAGTATTCGAAGGTGGTGATTTGTCGTAGAACTGTAGTAGAGCATAACGGCGATGTGAAGGGAATGTACCAGTGGTGTTTTTAAATTGTTTAAGGAACAAAACTTCACCAAAAAACAAATATCGCAGAAAAACACTTTTTGTGCCATCTCTTTTAGCGCGTGCCCCAACGTCTGCCGAGATGGAGAGCTTCCTGAGCGACACGGGTGCGGACAAGAACAACGAGGACCAGGCGCATGTGGCCTTCTTCACGCGTTTCCCGCACCTGCGCGAGTTCTTCTGCGGAGGATCGGCGGCCGCCATTAACGTCGTCGTGACCTTCCCACCCAACAAGATCATGTTCCGGCAGCAGGTAGGGCGTCCACCAGCACTTCTTTCAATACTATCGCACTTCAGCTAACCTGTCATGGTACTTTGACGCCAGTTATTTGGGCTAAACACATGGCAAGCCTTTGAGAACGTGCGCAGCGAGGGTTGGCTCATGCTGTATCGTGGTGTGAAGCCCCCGCTACTGCAAGCCATGGTGTCTAAGAGCATTATGTTTGGGCTGTACAATTTCTACGATGAGCTGCTGTTGCAGAGCTTTGGAGAGCACAAGGGACTGAGTTTGGTGGCAGCAGGCTTAGCTGGCACATCGGAGGCGGTCTTGGCTCCATTTGAGGTGCGACGATGAGGAGAATTGCGGACGAGAGAATTGCGTTTTTTCCTGATATTTGCTTTGTTGCCGTGTGTAGAGGGCACAGACGTTACTACAGACACCAAAGTTTAATCGGGAGATCGCAGGCGCGTACGATGCCATGGTCCATGTGAACAAGTACGGAGTGAGAGAGCACTACCGAGGCCTCTCTGCTATTCTGTGTCGCAATGGACCAGGGAATATTCTGTTCTTTGGTCTCAGAGGGCCAGTAAGAGAGCTGTTACCACGAGGAGAGACATCGGTGGCCACGATGACGAATGATTTTATCTGTGGCGCGATGCTCGGCGCAGTGATCAGCACCTTCACATTTCCCATTAACGGTGAGTTTACATATGGCCACTGGTGAAGTATTTTATTTTATTTCTTATTTTATTTTAATTTGTTTTAGTGGCACGGACACGTATGCAGAGTGTGTACGGACAACCGTTTATTGGTCCATGGGAGGCATTGCAGCTAACATACAAAGAGCGTGGACACAGCGTGAGACGGCTGTATCGTGGCGTGCAGATGAATTTCTTCCGATCGCTCATGTCGTGGGGTATTATCAATTCTACGTATGAAAAGCTGAAGTCAATCACGTGAGATCGAAGAGCTTGTTATTGACAATTCTGAATAGAGCCTAGTTTTTTGTAGGATATTCGTGCATTCTTACTAAAAATGCTACGATTTGATTTCTGAGATACACTTACTGTACTACAGTAGCCTACAGACACTGGCACAATATATTAACCCAACAGTGTAGACGCCACTACCAAAAAATAACATTTGCACTCTATCATAATATGATATTATCTGCGTTAGATAATAAAACCTTGCGGAACCCCAATGACTGGGTCAGCACTCATGGACTACAGACGACCGTCATTTTCGTATCACTATTCACTAATGAGAGGATAGAGGTCAGTTTATCTTTAGTTTGTAAGCAAGCGGTCACTCTCAACCACTTTATTTGGAGAAAGTACTATTGGGGAAATCAATACAGAGAGGGCCATCTGTACATTTATTCCACTCATCAAATAGTAATTTGAAACTCGATCTGGTCAGGTAATCTGAAGTAGTACAAATACTGAATTGCGCGGGCAGTGGCAATTATAATATTACTGCATTAACTCGCTGTAAAGTGTGCAGCGACATTTGTTGGGAAACCACCTGTAAGCACACAAATAAAACGAGCAGCACCGAGACTATTCTACCAGCACCCAAAAACCTCCCGTGCGTCATTTTCATGAAATTTCCAGCGCCTTTTAGATAATCACTTAGGATTTCACCTTTAGATCCTCAAACACTTACTCTGGTAGCCAACCGTTTGCTACCCGCAAGATCATGCCCACCTTACTCCCACCTCACTTGTGAATTTAATCGGCACTACTACACTATACTTTGCCCACTCTTCGCCACTCCGCGAGCCCCATGCCCCGCGCTCTACCCTGAATTGAGCTCGCTGGAAATGACGCCGACCTACTTCTCGACTCCTTTTAGGCTTTCTGGGTCTCGAAAAGCGACCAAGCAACATGCACGGTGTGCACCGACTCATCTTCTAATAACATGAGGAAACGCATCCTACTCTGCGCCTGCAAGTAGTGCAAGCTCACGGTGCCATACGCGAGGCGCGGCAAGCTGCTGAAGTGTCAGTACCAGAGCCTGGTGAAGATTTTTCAAACAGGATCTCATGCCACGACACGTCCTGAGCCTCGCCCTTTGCACTTAACCCGATCCATGAAGGGTTTTGCCAGACGAAGGGCTGAAGGCCGCTCGAATTCGCACCGGTTTGATCCGTAAGCTCGAGCTGAGCTCCAACGCCTAACCCCCTCTTAAGATCCTCCGGCGCTTCGTGAACAACTAAAAGACTGGTCAGATTGGAGACAACGACAACATTGATGACCTGCGGCGCTTTGTGCTTGAATCTAGCTTTACGGGTTATGAAATCGAATTTGATACATTCGCATTCACGTGAAAGACCGACGTTGAGGGAAGATCGTTCGTTGGCAATGGATCCGACGCGAACTTCTTATCACAACAAAGGCGCTATTGCGACAGGCCAACCGTATTGATGCGACATTCAAGCTCACACTAGTGGATTATCCGGTGTTCGTCGTTGGAATTACTTACTGCTCTCGAATATTCCGTCTGCTCGCAATTTTGGTTTCCTCTCCGTGAAAGGAAGTCCATTTTGCTATCCTGATGACGCTTTAAAAAACATCTGCACTCGAGTAACCAGAAAAAAATCCGCGGTGAATATGCAATGGGGGACGCAGCCGACGCATGGTACAACGCGATGGAGAGAGGCTTGGGTATTGACAGCAAAATTAAGACCTTGATTTTGCTACTACCACGTCGCATCGAAAGTCTATGCGAAGACAAGGAAGCTCTCACCAGCTTTCTACAGTGCTGTGGCCACGGGCTTAAATGATCTCTACTACGCCATAGCGAAAACTAGGTTTATTGCAGCTCAAATGCATGAGTTGGAAAATGGTCGAAGCCCACGGGACGTTCGACGCTCAAAGGGTACTTTGTGAGTGTATTGTTGTCGAGTCGGAGTTCCTGACGGCAGGTCTATCATGCACCCCTAGCATTCTCAACCACGAATAACCCTGTCGAGAGCTTCAATGGCACTCTCAAGAGGGATTTCACGCTTCGCGCTAGAATGAAAAGGGGGTCATTGTTGTGTCAATTAATGGCCTGTTGCACAAACGAGAGCACAACGGCAAAAGCATCTCGCTCGAGCCGACATAAAGCGCCACTCTGGCCCAAAGGGCAAATGAGATGAGGAGAGCGGGTATACAGTCCGAGCGGCCGCGTGAGCGGTGTACAATTGTGGTTTTGCGAGGAAGATGAGGAGTCTGATATTGTAGATGTCATTTCTCGACGAGTTGCTCGCATCTACGACACCAAGCCTAGACGTTCCAGTGACCCGCTACTCATAACCGCACAGCTCAGCGAGCAATCATCTCGCAAGAAGGTTGAAGGTATGCCAGTGAGCACTACGCAATGGTCGTGGTCGTGCCCGTGCCTCTACGGGGCGAAGTTCTTGACACGTGTACATACGCTGTTGACAAACACGCTCGAGGGGTTAATGCAGTGGATTAGAGTGATAAGATAGTCTACCGGGGCACAATTCGGCGAAAGGCTGCCAGGCAGCGTTCTGGGCGCCCAAACCCCAACACACTAGCGCTGCAGGTAGAATAGAACAACCGTAAGTATGATAAATTTATAAAGTAGCACTAAACCAAATGTCTTCTGCATCACGCCATGATTGTAGCGGAGGTATTTGGAGCCATGCTTGAAGCTGGACAGTATAGTACCCCCATATTTGCTTTACATGATACATGTAGTAACTAGATTAATATGATTTTTGGTAAATAACACGACATAACACGCACCTGTTGCACGTTTTCACCACGATACTGGACCGAGTGCGAAACCGGAGCCCAGTTTCCTTTCCATCCAAATTCAGGGCAACAAGCAGTTGGGCCCACTTTCGATACCCCTTTCGTGGTATTTCCTCTGCGTGGATGCTAACGCTTGCATGCGCAGCTGCATTTTCGGCACGTTGATCCGACGTTTGGCTCTTGCGTATGCGTAGATTCTTCTCATCTAAAAAACGGTATTGGTGAGGCAGATCAACTGGTCCTTCTAAAACCGTTTCTGATAGTTGCGTGCAGGGTATCCTGTTGCCATCGCCCGCCCGACCAGGGTCGGACTCGACAGTCTCGTCTTGGTCGGAATTATCGCACGGTGCAGTCACATCATGAGGGGAGAAGACACGGGCCTTTTGTTCATTCTTCACCGCCACCTTTCCTGCACCTTTCTTCTTCGCGTGAGCTTGTTGCTTCTTTCGCGGGGCCTCTTTGCCTTCATCTTGAGCCGAAAGTCTTCGTGAAGGCTCCTTCCTGTACAGAAACCCTATTAGGACATACAAACATAACAAGTCCCCAGCTACCTTCTGGCTTTTGTGGGCATGTGGCTCGTTTGCAAATGGACGGCTGCGATTATTCCCCCTCATTATACTAAGTAAGAACCTCAAATGATGCTCATCCCCAAATTTGAGGCAAATCGACCTAGTTTATAGGCCGCATAATTTTTTGCGTAGCTTATTTTACTAGCAGCATCGAGTGGATGTGGTTAGGGTAAAATAACGTTGCCGGACCAACTTCGTCTATGAGATCAAATAAGGTACTATGTATCAATTGTGGATAGTCTATCAAAATATTTATATGTCTCTCGGTCAAAATCGTTATTGTACTTGGACCAGGGTCTAAGCTTAACACTTTTGTTGCTGGCCACTAAAACCCTGCAATATGCTTAATTCTACACTTTTTTTCTCAACCAAAATGTGAGGATTTTATTTTGAACAAATAAAGTGGCTTGCCGAAACCAAGCATATTGCTTGGTTTTATTAAAATAATTGCTATAGTTAATGGTAAACCCAACCAATATGATATAATATGCTGCGGGGGTGCGGAGTAAAACCCAGCATATATGCATCTTTTACATTTTACTGTGGGATATTTACCATACAAATTCCAAGTAATTTTTTGGCAGCAATATGCTTAAGGTACTACATGCTGTCTGTTCACCGCTGTGGAAGGTATGTTAATGGGACTAGCTCGAAATCCTCTGTAAACTGTCCTACGCGTCAGTCGCCCAATCAACATTAAATTTTGAAAATCCTAAAAACAATTACGAAAGGGTCGTGCAGCACTCAAAATGTTCATCCAGCAATCAGGCAAGAGCAAGGACTTACTATCGTGTTATCGTAGCAGAGTTTCTATCAAGTTGGATCACCCTGTAGCTGCTCTCCGGTCTGCATCAATGTGGAGTGGCATACACTCACAAAAACAGACTGAAACCAGGGGGGGGGTAGCTACAGGAGCAAGAGAAGAACCAGGAGTGGCTGTAGACTGTACTTCTGCGCACCACAAGATGGTCTAGCCTGTACAAACACCCTCGATAATTATACGGGAAGGAGGCGGTGGCCTGGGAGTAGAGGGTGCCGCGATCTGACAGCAGAAGGAGGCGTCGTGCTCAAATCCGAGGGTGAATGACACCGCACTTGTACTGAAGGTCCTGCTGCAACTTTTACTGTAGGTCGGACACGGCCGTGCACATGGTAAGGAGGGGATAACTGGTAATAGCGGCGCTGCGGAGCATTTGCCGGATATAGACGCAACGCTGACGACGATGGCAGGCCCTCCCAGCTACATGGCGCACTCGTTGTGGTTTAAATGCTACACTTGAACGAGCAACCGATGATACATGTATGGCTGGATAAGAGTACATGTATTTGTGTGAGAGCTGTCGGAGCGCGTGCACAACCATCCGCACACTGATTGCGTTGTTGTCATAGATAGAAAAGGAGATTCGCACAGACGATTTAGCAAATCCACAGACGCACAAAAGGTAAATCCACAGATGTGCAGCGGCAGGATTCCTGCGGCACTACAAATGGCACAATTAATTTTAACCTATCATATCGATGCATGTAAATCAGATGGCTCCTCACCACCGAAAGCGGACTGGCGACTCAGCTTATCATTTAGACACTGACCCGCTGCCATCGCCGTCGCTGACGCTGCTGGCCCCGCTGCTGCCGTCGCCCGCTGGCCCCACTGTCGCTGTCGCCGCCCGCTGGCCCCATAGTCGCTGCCGTCGCTCGCTGACCCCATAGTCGCTGCCGTCGCCCGCTGGCCCCGCTGCTGCCGTCGCTCGCTGCTGCCATTGCTGCTGTTACCGTCCCTGCCCTTGCTGCTGTTGTCGCCGTCGTAGCTTGAAGCCGTCGCTTCTTGCTGCTGTTCGGTGTCATCTACGGTATTTTGGGACAGGATTGTATCGGTATTAATCATGTCTTTTTCGTTCGAAGAACTTGCACGATTTTGGAACATTGGCTACATCGTGAAAAAAAAAATTCTTTCAGAAGACCTTTGTGAGCGCGCGTTTGACTAAGTCGAGCGACTGGATTGCCGCCCGATTTTTAGGAAAGCACACGCTAGTACACTTGACGTATACCGTGGTCAAGTCGGTCTGGAAGTCGACGACGGAACGGCCAACAAGGATATACATGATCTTGTCTTGGACATTGTGGAGGGGGCCAACAAAGATTGGGAGGTGAGGATGGATACATGGCATGCTATCAAGTCTGTTCCAGGTGGCAAAACATAGGCAGTCCATCGCGACTTCCCGTCGTTCGAGGTTTCGCGTGCATACCTGCGCCACCATTTAGTCCCGGGTTCTGTTATAGCTTCTATAATGGATGGCACATTGTTTCACGTTTATCAACGCTGCATTAGTGATCAGCCCGAGAAAGGAAAGCGGTTAACGTTGCAATTTATAAAAGGAGACATGCTCCTTTTTAGGGGTGTTTTAGACCACGCCGGTGCAAAATATTCCGCGGAGAATGTCCGCCTGCACTGCTACGTACGTGTTCGAGGTATTCGCCAGCGGCCGAACGCCACTGAGGCTGCGGTGTTTAAGACCTTCCGGTGTGATAAATGTATGGACGCTTATTTTGTCCGGCGCGAGTTATCAGAGCACAGGAAGACGTGTAAAGTGGAGGGAGACTATCAGTGTCCCTACTGTCATTATTCCCAGGACAAGAAGAACACTGTCATTAAGCACATCAGTCGTTACCACCGAAGCGAGCACCGGGCAAGGAAAGATCGTCCAGGACAGCAAGCTCCATCTAGAAGCAATAGTGAGGATGAGATAGCGTCCACGCGCAGTTGTGAAGGGTTTAAAGACGAGAGCGAAGAGGATGAAGTGATGGAGCGTAACATTGAGCTAATGGATATTGCTCCAAGCGAGGATAGCGAAAGGAGCGATGAGACTTCAGAAAGCGAGGTAAGTGAAGCAGGTGGACTGGACGATGAAAGCGACGCAAGTGATGTCAGTGAAGAATATTCGAGTGAAGAAATGGACGTCGACTCTGACATGTAGAGCCCAACTAGTTAATACTAATGAGCTACGCGAACTCTTGATAAAAGAACACAAAAACGTTGGTGACAGTGACACAAAAAAAGTTGGTGACAGTGACACAAAAAACGTTGATGACCGTGACATAAAAAAGGTGGTGACACATCTAAAAGGGGTGACACGTTTAAAAGGGGTACTCGTCCCACTATCTAAGAAATAAGTAGACGTCGGTAGAGGAGGAATACACCTTTTATTCAAACACAGGGCCACGATTGATGTTGAAAAATGAATTACAATGACGTCGTGAATTTTGTGACTACGTATTAGGACACAAGATGAGCTGAATGTCAAGTGCTCTAGATGCAAGAAGCGGCCTGCCGCTCCGCGAATCAGTAAGGGGGAGTGTGGTGATCAGCGCAAGACTCGAAACGCCAATAACAAACGAGTCTGAATCTGTGCCTTTACCCACATACGCGTGGCCATTTGCATCTTCATCGTATTCAAAGCAGAACGCGCGGTTTAGATCACCGGTTGGGTCGAACGCGTTCTTGCGAACTAGCTCGCGGACGACGTGAATTGAATTCTTAGTGCCCTGAAGACGACGCAAATATTTAGCGCAGTTTGTCACTTGTTCTAGCGTAGGGTACCCTCGCTTGGGCTGTAAGATCTCAGATCGACGCATACTACTCCAAATGAGCTGAGGTGGAACTGCCCATTCGTCCTGTTGCAGAAAGAATTTCTTCATTTCTGCGGTAATCTTTGTTCTATGCGGTCCGTCACAATTTACTGACTCGTCACGATTCTGGTCAATCCTATTGTAATACACTTGGCATCGATTCAATTGCTTGCACATCCATATTTTCCACCCAAATTTGCACGATCCATACCGTTTGCACGTCTTCCTACTGCAGCACAGTCTTCTCTCTGTCATGACGTGCTCACTTCCTTCGCAGAGTCGACAAGGTCTTGCTGGGTCAGTGTGCCTCACCCGAGCGCAGCAAAATTCTAGATCTTGAAATTCCGCGAGCTCAGCAGCATTAATTTCACACAGCAGATCCCAACTGTAGCAACAACGGGTCTTTCTCCGACCAGCTACAGCTCTATCGCCGCCGTCCTCCGCGAACATTATTATCGCCACACAGAACAGCACCACTCCACCACCCTATCTGCACGTATTTTCCACAGCCTACACGGTCGCCGTGCGCTGTTTTGTCACTGCGTGGCCACGCGTCACTTCTTGTCACTTGAGCTTTTCACGTCATCACGCCCTGCAGAAACTAGTAAGCTGTCAGCTGCCGTCGCAACTTCATTGCACGCTCTACACGTGACTTCACACGTATCCCTACAGTCTGCACGTTCACGCTTCGCTTGTTTTGCTACTGAGGGACAAAACGCCACTTCCTGTCGCTTTAAGGAAGCGGGTCGGGTCCCGTCGCAATAGTCACAATAAATAACGAAGCTCAATGCCGAGCGCGCTGGTGAGAGACTTTGATTCAGCTGCCACGTGTAAGCCGTGAGCTGTCCGTGTTTTGTGGCCAGTCGACCAAGTAAGTCCAAGCACTCAATACGTTTGCTACTCTATGTGGTACACCTTAAGTTAGTTTCAGTCTGTGCATTTCTCGCATCGATATGTGGATTTACACTTTTCGACAGTTTTTCTGTGCTGACTTCTGTTTGTCTGTGATTATTCTTCTTCGTCTGTGCAGATAATCTGTACTGTCTGTGGGATTATACCATTTTCTGTCATAGAGCGTACAAATTCGTGCCTTAAGGAGTTGGGCACATTGTTTGTATTGATTAATATGTTAACAATGAAGTGGCAGCTCTTAGCACACGGGCTTAAAGTTTATACAGTGCCCGCCAAATCATTAAGACCCCCGATTTGGCGGGACAATTCTGACAATATCTCGGCTTCTAGCCTGAGTTGAGAGCTGCTACTTTGATATGTTCTCTCTATTAGGCTTACAGAGGTGCCACTTGTGTTAACAACTTAGATTTCTATGTATCTGACAGGGCTGGTATACAAATTCAAGGTTTGGACATCAGCGTCAAATTATTAAGACCACATCCTTTTTATGACGAAAAAACACTTTTATGAACAGACCTTACGAATTTCTATATTAAAAGAGTGATGGTCAAAATAAGTAGATGGTTGGCGGAAATGAGCGGGTAGCTAGACGCTACGGAGGCTGTGAGCCTTTCATTTTCTAATGGACCACGGCAAGACCCTCTCCCAACAAGAGTACTGGTTTATCGTCGGTCTCCATGACGGAGGCGTCTCTCTGCACGAGATCGCTAAGAAGACAGGTCGGTCCCGTACGTCCGTCCGGAACGCAGTCAAGGCGGAGCGGGGACGGAAGGAAGACAGGGGTGGAGAGCGAAGGGCTGGGCGGCAACCGGCACTGACGGAACGAGAGCTGCGGCAGCTTGTGCGTGCCGCGGCGACAGGTGAGTTCTTTGCTGCGGAGCTCAAGACGAAGTTCGGCATCAAGGCGTCCGTGAGGACGGTCCAGCGGGTTCTGCAGCGTGTGGACCATCTGGTTTACACCAAGATGGACCGCACGCTTCCCCTCACGGCAGCGCACAAGGCTGCCCGCATGCAATGGGCGGAAGATTACATACTGAAGCCAGGTAAGCCTCTCATATTAAAGTTTTGCTGCAATTTTGTATTATAACAATATTTATTTTTTTAGAAACTTGGATTTACACTATTTTTTCAGATGAAAAGAAGTTTAATCTAGATGGTCCTGATGGATTCAAGTATTACTGGCGGGACATGCGCCAGCCTGCACAGTCTTATCTGCGTCGCCAAAATGGAGGAGGGAGCGTCATGGTGTGGGGCGCTTTTAGTGCAGCAGGTAAGAGTGAGCTGGCCATCTTGCGTGGACGTCAGAATTCAGGTGACTATATTTACACGTTATCTGAATATCCACTCCCTTTTGCTCACGCTAACTATGGTGTTGACTTTGTATTTCAGCAAGACAATGCTTCGATTTATGCCTCGCATGAAACGAAGCAATTCTTGCAGGAGATGCAACTCAACACCATGGCTTGGCCAGCTCGCTCGCCTGACTGCAACCCCATCGAGAACGTCTGGTCGGCGATGGCGGCCAAGGTGTATGCACATGGCCGCCAGTACCAAAACGTTGCTGATCTGGAGGCAGCAATCATGGCTGCATGGGACTCCATTCAGCTATACTACTTGCTGAAGCTGATAGAGTCCATGCCTCGCCGCTGTCTAGCGGTGATCAAGAAGAAAGGTGGTCTGACTAAGTACTAATTTTTAATATAGAAATTTGTAAGGTCTGTTCATAAAAGTGTTTTTTCGTCATAAAAAGGATGTGAACTTACTTATTTGACGCTGATGTCCAAACCTTGAATTTGTATACCAGCCCTGTCAGATACATAGAAATCTAAGTTGTTAACACAAGTGGCACCTCTGTAAGCCTAATAGAGAGAACATATCAAAGTAGCAGCTCTCAACTCAGGCTAGAAGCCGAGATATTGTCAGAATTGTCCCGCCAAATCGGGGGTCTTAATGATTTGGCATGCACTGTAGTGATGTGTGTATCATCTATGCTTGATAAATAGTAAGAACTAGTCGCCGCGTACGTCATCGCCATTCGAGCTGGAACTCTTACGACTGCGATGCTCGGTTTGATGTCGCTGTGACGCGGGTTGCAACTGAGGACGGTACTATGTGGTGTCTTGTCGTACAAAACAAGTACAACAGCAAACTTACAGGCCTGACGATGTCATGGGGTGCGCAAAGTCGCTCATTTCCTCATGGATCATCCATGGATCATCCATGAGGAGATGAGCGACTTTGCGCATCCCATTGAATGGTGTTGCTACGGAGAGCGTCGTCGTTCGCTTCGACGCAACCGCATCGTCGAGACAGATCGCAAACTTTGTTAGTAACGAGATGGGTAAGAAGGAAGGACACACATTTTTTCCTCGAATTTTATTTTCTTTTACATAGTCGCTTTATTATTTTGTTGTTTTTGAAAAGGGCAACAAGTGTCATCACAGCTGATTCGGAACTTGATACGACGCATGCAAAATGGGTCAAGCTCACAAGAGCGACTATTTTTTTTTCATTCTCTGCAACAGATAAGAGGAAGCGAATTTATGCTCATTAATGACGATTTGGACCTCACCTGCGCCGTGGTGATTCAAACAAGAATCTAGAACGCGGCATTCAAAAAATGGGGAGAGAACCTAACGTTGGATTTTACGCAGGGGACCAACAACCTTGGCTTTCATCTAGGTGCGTTATTACATGCAGATGTTAGTGTCGCTTAAGCAACGTGTGCTATGTCAAGTCTTATCTGACGTTTTTTAATCCTAGGGGGCCTCATTGCTATGGGGCCGACTGGTCGCGGGATACCTGTGCTGAGCTTCTTGGTACTTAAAGGCGTGACCAAACGATGACTGCCACTTTCAAGATCTTCATAAAAAAAACAATAGGATAGGTGGGTGAACAATCCGACATTCGTGATCGACAAGCTTTTTGTCGATGGCAAGTGCTCGAGAAATTTTTTCGCAACGCAGCGGTCCTAATGTGTCAATTTCATGCCTTGGTCTACTGGAAGAAGCTGCTACCGAAGAAGTTTGGACTATGACCCTCCAAACGAGATATCGTCCAGCGTTGTTTCGCAAACGTGATGTATAGGTGCGTTGGGGTGTACGTCCTAGTCCTCTGCTCGTTTACTAACATATTTGTAGTCCAGCCGAGAAATACAAACACTCGGTGGTACACTGCGCTTAAAAGGTTCGTCGAACACGGACTTCGTTCATGACCACCGGCAATTATTCAGGATATTCTTAAACGAATTTGAATCGATAATGAGTGATTATGTTCTCAGTAGCGTTTAACGGCAGTGGGACCGCAATCGAGAAGCCCAGCGTGTGAAGAAAAGAGGACTGCAACTGGGAGGTTGTATCGGGGAGAAGCTCTTTCATTTGCGACGACATTGTATGGATATATACATGCAATTTTTACACAGCTCAGGATTTGCGGTTTTAGCATCTTATGTTTGTTTTCCGGTACGGCCGCGGCTTTGATGAATTTCCGGCGATTGCGTTGCAGGGGCGGTGGAATATGGAAGTTGCAGCTACGGCTACGCAAGGAATGGAGGAAAGTGTATCGGAAGTGACTCCAGTTTTAAATCATGTGAAATCGAGAAAGAACAATGTTACTTGAAGCGAGCAACGTTATCTACACTTTTGTCAATCCTAGTTTGCAATCGTGTAAACCAAAATGAATTGTCTCGTAAGTAGAAAAAATGTTTAAAAAGGTATTTAAAAAAATAAACAGTGCAGATCAAAGTAGATTTAGTTCACACCATATCTTTTTCTTAAGTCCCGTAGCTCATGGGCTCACTCCGAATGGCAGCGGTAACTGAGAGCGCACATTGGCGCGCCATTTTATTTACCAGACGAAGATCGATACAGGTGATGCAGCGCTCTGCTACCCTTTCAAGAAGCAGTATCTGTTGCTCCGTCTTCTCGTCATGCGGCGCGTCGAACATCACTTTGGGGCTGATAGCTAATCAACGCCTAAAACGGGCTTTTCGAACGCTAAAACATCCTATTAAGAACAATGTTTTGCCGTTTGAAAATACCGTTCGTACATTTAAGCTGTAGCGTACCGAAGGTATTGTGAGAGGTAATACCTTCTTCACCCAACCACGTGGTAGCGATATATAGGTAGCCATTGAGATCAACTGTAGAGTCTACTCCGTCCGCTGGATCACTATCGTCCGAGCATGAATCCACATCTGGTGGCAAACCGTCTCGATTGCCATCTACACGTTTCACGATGAGCTCGTCCCAAAGTTGCATCTCCTTGTAAGACTTATCGCTCAACAGTTTGTGAGGTACTCGATCAGCGGGTTAAACATTGAACTAGCGCCATTGTATTTCGCA